CATATATTAAAAAAAATAATTTTAATTAGTAAAATAAATTATAGAATTTAATAAATTAATTTTATTTTTTTCATAAAAAATACCTAGCTATTTTAATACTATCGAATTATTTAAATACATGCTAATTTTCATGTTTTTTATTATTAATTTTTCAAGCAACCTAGGTAATTTATTTTGACAAAATCCTTGAAACACGTATCTAATAATTAATTTTTTTAAAAATTATAAATAAAAAATATAAAAATATTTATATAAAAAAAATGATTTCCATTATTTGTAGATTATTTGTAATGTTATTTAAAAAAAACATTATCTATACTATAGATAACATTTGTTAAAATCGAAAATTTAATTTGTAATTATATTTTACTATCAAAAAAATAAATATATTCTATAGAGATTTATATTATTTTTTAATAAAATTTATTTCTATTATAAAAATTATGATTTTTTTTTTGAGTATTTTAAGACAATTTTTTACTTATATTATTATAAAGTTTTGGAATTATTTTTTTTTAAATTAAATAATTTTTAAATTGTTAATTAAAGTTTGCTATTTTGTTTAGTTATATCTGTTACCGTCACTGTAACCGCTACCGTAACCGCCACTGTTACCGCCATTATAACCGCTACTATAACTGCTACCGTAACCGCCATATTTACCGCCACTGTAACCACTACCGTAGCCGCCACCGTTATCGCTATTGTAAATGCTACCGTAACCCCTACCATAACCGCCATCTTTACTTCTACTATAACCGCTACCGTAACCGCCATTTTTATCGCTACTATAACTGCTACCGTAACCGCTATATTTACGGCCATTGTAACCGCCACCGTTTTCGCTATTGTAACTGCTACTATAACTACTACCGTAACCCCCACCATAACCGCCATCTTTACCTCTACTATAACTGCTACCGTAACCGCTATATTTACGGCCATTGTAACCGCCACCGTTACCGCTATTGTAACTGCTACTATAACTACTACCGTAACCCCGACCGTAACCGCCATTTTTATCGCTACTATAACTGCTACCGTAACCGTCATCATTACCGCCATTGTAACCGCTACTATAACCACCACCTTTACCGCCATTGTAACCGCTACTATAACCGCCATCTTTACCGCTACTATAACTGCTACCGTAACCACTACCGTAACCTCTACCGTAACCACCATCTCTACCGCCATTGTAACCACTACCGTAACCGCCACCGTTATCATTATACTCATTATAATTGTATACCTTGAGATTTGGATCGTTTAATTGTTCTAAAAATAATTTTTTTATTAAAAAAAATAAAAATTTATATTATTAAAACAACAATAACAACTAATAATTTGTTTTTATAAGTTAATTAAACTTTTTATATATATATATTACTTACCTTTGATATTACCTCTACCATAGTTGAATATTTTTCCTTAAAAATTAAATAATGTTTTTTTAATAATTTCTAATAATTATTTAACTTAATAATTTAATCATAATTTAGAAACAGTTATATAAATATATATAATTTTTTATCTTGCTTATCTCATCAAAAAATTTTAAAAAACACCAACAATCAAGTTTTAAAAAATTCGCATATTATCTTAGTACTTTTTTTAAAAAAAAACTAGACACCCCTTCTCTCAATAGGAGAACGTAATATGTGAGCCACCCCTTAATATAGCTTAGTTGTTGTTGATATTTTTATGTTTTTATTTATGTATTACTTATTTGTTTAACTACCTGTACCATTGCCAATTAAACGGTTTATTTGTCCTAATTTTTAAAAAAAATATTAATAAATAAAAACAGTAAAATCTCTCTCTCTCTCTAAACATATATTAACTTACTTGTTATGTTACCATGGTTTATTATAGTTACTGATTAAAAAAAAATTAAATAAATAATTATTTGTATTTATATTTAAAAAAAATAATTAGAAAGTTAGAAAAAATTATTTACTTAGAATTTTAGTAAATTTTTAATTATTATCATAATTTAATTACTTACTTGAAGTTTGTATTTTGGTAATGCTTGTTGAAATCACTACAATTATAATCATCATTGCAATGAAATTAATAATGCGTTTCATTTTTTTATTTTTAATTTATTATAATACAAAAAAAAAATATTTATCAAAATACAATTAAACAAAATAAATATTTATAACATAATTTAATTTATAGTTTGGAGAAAATATAATTTAAAATTTTTTAAATCATTTATTTAAAAAATTAGTTATTTTAAAAAAGTTAAAACAACACAAAACAAAAATCTAATTATAATTTATTGATACTATTATTATACTATAATTATGTAAAATATTTTACATAATTATAGTATTGCTTTTTATTGGTTTTATTTTATACTCTAAATAAATTGATTGATTGTAAATAATAATAATAATATACTAATTTTATTTGTGCTGAACATACAGTATATATACGTTTAATATTTGAACAATTTTTACAATGTTTAGAAAATAGGAAATTTCGACAAAAA